GCCTGTGGTGGAAGAGTGCTACACAGAGCACGTGACAAGTCTTGAGAAGAAAACGAAGTAGGAACCCAGGGGTTGGAGTAAAGTGATGCTCTGGCCAATGAGTAACTATTATCCTTTACAAGAAGGGACCAGTCCTTGGAGAGGGAGATCATGCTTGAAAGAGTAAAGGGACAGTGCAAGAGAGGAAGAACCTGGATGAGACAGATTGACTCAGTGACTGGGGTAATGGGCACAAGTGTGTCAGAGACAGTGAGGTTGGCTTAAAATAGAGCAGGGTTCAGAGCTGTTGTACAGAGGGTCGATATGAGTCGCAAGTGACTCAATGGCACATAACAACAACATCCTTTGAAAAATTCACACTGGCCTGTCACTGAGCTCTGGAGAAGCCTAAAAGCTTGGTGACTGCATATCAGATGGTCATGCTGTCTCTTATAAATTGGTATTATCTGGCCCACCTACTCCTAAAGCCAGGCATGTCAGAAGCACCCTATCACAGGTAGGCATGGGCTCCCCTGATAGGCCCAGAGGAGGCTCTAAAGGCACAGGGAACCATGTGTATGGATTGCTCACAGCTTCCTACAGTGACACACCTTATACTGCGATACACCCCAATGGCTTTAAGAGAGGGCAGTCTTCACTGCTGTGGGTCCTTGGATGAAGACATCATGCTTGGAAATGTAGAGGCAAAAGAAACGGAGACCCTCAATGAGATGGACTGACAGTGACTGTCACAATGGGCTTGAGTACATCAGAGACGATGCGGATGATGCAGGACCGGGCAGTGTATAGGTCTGCTGTTCACAGCGTCGATATGGGTCGTAGTTTCCTAACAGCAACAGGAGTGGGGATCCTTCTGCTTTCACACTTGTTTTCTTTATCTACCAGATCTCTTCCACGTGAACATCTATGGAATTATAAAATTCCCTAAATATCACTATGTTGTTGTTGTGTACTGTAGAGTTGGAACCAATTCACAGCTCACTCTGCAGCTGGTTTTCAGAGGCAATTAATCACTCATATTTCTCCCATGGAGCAGTTGGTGGCCTTGAACCCTGTGTCTTTGGGATTGCAGTGCAGCTTCTTGCCACTAGGCCACAAGAGCTCCCTTGTGTATAGTACCCCTAATATTGCCTTTAACTAAGACGCTCACTTTACGACAAAAGTAAGGTCATGGGTTGATGCCTGTGGTGTTCACTTGTTTTTGCAGTATCGTCACAATCTGGAAGCAGGTGACTGATGGGAGGTAAAGTGGCTTGTTGATTCATGGGTCTGGTCTCGCTGAGGAAGACCAGCTGTTTAGGTTGGGTCAGTCCTGCAGGATGTAGCATGCACTGTGAACTGTCAACCACACCAACACCAACACCAACCAGTTAATGCTGAGGTGATTCCAAACTAAGGCAACACTGTGTGCAACAGAGCAGAACTGTGCTCCAAAGGGTTTCCAGCAGCTAACTTCTCTGGAGTCACCAAGCCTAACTCTCAAGGTGTCCGAGAAGACTCAACCCACCAACCTTCCAGTTAAACAGCCAAGCACATTTACTGTTTGTACCACTCAGGAACATTTCTCCTACAGGAAATAGGATGGAGGCAGGCTAGGTGTCTATGTCTGATGAACCACCCCTAACATTTTTTTTTCCTAACTGAGGTTTGGGAATATTTTGTGTAGCAGTTTTAATCATTACAGGAAAAACAAGTCACAAAATAATAGAATGATATGACTGAATTAATTGGAAGCTGAAGCAGCCTCTTGGCCATTTCAGGTCCTTACACCTCTGAATGATAGATAGTAAGAATATATAGAAGCTGGAGAAGAGTACTGAATACACCATGGACTGCTAAGAGAATGAACAGGTTCATCCTGGAGGGGGTTAAACCGGGCTGCTCCTTGGAGGCAGGGATTCTGAAGCTTCATCGGACATACTTTAAACATGTTGCAAGGAGGAACCAGTCCTTGGAGACGTACATCATGCTTGGAGGGGTCGAGGGACAACACAAGAGAGAAAAACCCTGGATGAGATGGATTGATTCAGTGACTGGGGTAATGGGGGTGGGTGTGTCAGAGACAATGAAGTTAGCGCAGGATAGAGCAGGTTTCAGGGCTATTGTACACAGGGTTGCTATGAGTCACAAGTGACTCAAGGACACATAACAGCAACAGCAACAGGATGATTGACCTTATGGGGAAAAAATATAGTTGTTGCTGTGACATAAAAGGAAGGAAAGTACAGTTGGAAGTGGGGGCACTTCCTCCAGAGCTTCCTGGTACTGCCACGTCCAATATAAATGCCCATCACATATATGCAGGAACACTAGGGAATCAGACTTCAGAACTGAAGGTTTGAGTCCCGCTAACAGGAGGAATCCTGGTCATAAACTTCAGTCCTCAAAGCAATGGACTGCATCCATATTTCACTTTATTCTTTTTGTTTAGTTTTGGTTGACTATGGTACAACTCAGCGGCACATAACAATGACAATGATTAATTTTACTGGTAAATCCACAGGTTACAGGACTTCAAAGTAGGATTATGATTAAAAGAAAAAGGGTATCAGTAGAGATACTGGACTTAGAGGATGGCAGCCTTGGGCCGTCACACCTGGACTAATAGAGGTGACCTTCAGCTGTCACCCTCTAAGCAGAGGGGAACATTGAGTTGCTATATTTAGGAGCATCACAGCACATGATGGGGGAATGTGGGGGGTTGGGTTGGGGGTATCTTTGGGTTTTCCCTCCAGCCCTTCCCAACTTCCCAGTCTTCTGGTAAGATGCCTCCCCCTAACCATATCCTTTGAGAAACTACCTGTCCTTCTCACCGTGGGTGCCAGAGCAGATCCTCTCATGAAGAACTTGAATCTTGGATCTACCAACACCAGCAGCCCCCGGGGGGAAAGCCCAAACTTCCCTGGTTTCCACATTCCCAAGGAGATTCTTTTGGTTCTGTGAGTTACCCCAACGTCCTTCTTACGCATCCTTTTTCTCTGATTAAGCTGGTCCCAGGCAGTTTCTACTCCTCAAACCCCAAGACTGCCTACTAGGCAGGCAGCCTTGCCTGTACCTGCCTCACACGTCTTTGCGTCCCCTCAGGCCCCAGCCCAGGTGGGGATGAAGTAGGTGATCAGCAGGTACTCGCTGCATAAATGGCCTCATTCCTGGGTATAAGCTCTCAAAGTGGTCTGGATATTTGGGCTGGGAGACACACTGGAGAACAGGGGAAAGTGGGCTGGGAGTCAGGTGAACACCAGAGGAAGGAGAGAAGTCAGAAATGTCTAATGGAGGGGTTAATGTCAGCAAGGAAAGATCTGGGTGATGTGGCAGGGGGTGGTGGGGACAAGATGGGAAGCTTCTCTGTCACTTGAGAAGCTGGGAATGGTCAGAGAGTAGATGGGGGTGGGGGCAGGAGAAGCTGGTTGTCTCCTGGGTGGTCTTGATGCAGCAGAGACTGTTGGGGAAATTCCCACACCCCCAGCCCTTCTGGCTCCTTCATTTGCATTCCTCTCCCAAATGCAGAAACAATTCCAAGGACACACCTCCCCAAATACCTTGGTAAGGGGCACAAGTTCAGTTGTATAGAAAGCAAGGACTATCTGGCTGTGGTCTCTTTTGAACCTGAACTTCAGTCCAGAGTCTAGATAATATAGTGTTTTCTAATGGGCTCAAGGATTATAGGACACCCTCAGAGACTGCACCTGGAGACAAGGGTCCCTGACACCCACACGCTTTGAACCACACCAGATGAAGTGAGCAGGATACACAGTTGCTGCCTTTATTGCATTCCAAGGGGAGCAGGCTAACTCCAGACCCTGCCCCCTCCCCCAGGCTTCAAGATGGGGTGCTCAGGAAGGATCCAGGGTGCTGGCCGGGCACAGCATTTCCTTGGGAGTCCATAGATGAGGGCCCAGAGGTGGTACCCCAGGATCAAGAGCTAATGGATTGTGGCCAGGTTCTTGGGTCCCACCCCAGTGCATGGGGTAGGACTGTAGCCCCAGAACTCTCTCACAGGAGAGTCCCAGCTCGCTATTCAGGGAAGAGGAGATGTGAAATTAACCCAGACCCTGCCTCCTTTCAGTATGGAGCACAAGGGCCTTGAAAATCAACACCTTCCCCTCTCCTGATAAAACTCACACCAGCCCTCACCTTTTGGGCAATGAGAAGCTGAAGCGGGGTATGGTGCATAAGTGTAGGGTGAGGCGAGAAGTCTGCGCCTCTCCTGAGTATTGGTGGGCAGGTGTGGAATCAGAGTGAGGATTATCGTTGGGTAAACAGTGAGGGAAGGTGAAACATCAGGCTACAACTGGGCTTAAAGCCAGGGGTGCAGAGAGCAAGGGGACCTGAGAAGCAGATACGTGAGTGAGTGATGCAGGGAGCGAGAACATGAACACCCACCATCAAAGATCACTACACAAGGACACGGCAGGCTCTGGAAGGGCCCTGAGACCAAGGCGGGCTCAGGGAAGGTTAGTTGCAAAATAAACCGGGGTGAATGAGGCAGAGGAGCTGGGAGGAAGAGAGACCCTGAGAGTCACGGGTCCAGACTCAGAAGAGGATGTCTGGAGCCTCAAGGACAGGGAGGGATCAGGGCCCGGGAGGGGTGAGGGATGGATGCTGGCCTGCATGCCCTGGGAGGAGTACATTCACCACAAGGTTTGGCCAGGCCAGGGGTGGGGTTAGAACTCATGCAGAGGACTCCAGGAGTCTCCAGCAGTGGCGAGTGTAAACTTCAAGGAGGGCCCAGGTCACAAGTACAGGTAGAGGTCGAGGTACTCAAGACCTGGGAGCCCTGGGTGGTGGGTGGCACCAGGTGGGCTGGTGGGCTGGGTGCCACACACCAAGGTTGTCTGAAGAGGAGCTGACAGAGGAGAGGCTGCTCATAGGGGTCCTTGAGCAATATCTCCTCAGAGCCCTGTCTCCAGTTAGTTCCATATCGGGAGAGTCTCCATCAGGTTCAAGCTGCTTCCTGGTTGGTCTGCTGCTGGGTGGAGGCCCCCAGCCTCCTGTGGGGGCTACCGCATGCTCTGGGCCTTGGAACCCCCTTCTTGGGTGGCAGGCTGTCCCAACAAACGGGCAGTGACTGCTTCTGAGGCCTGAGCAGTGGCCTTGGGGCTTGGGACACTCTTGCGACTGCCCTGAGGGCTAGGCAGGCCTCTTCTTGGGGGCTGAGGACTCAGCTGGGCACCCTTCCTGCCGGCAGATGGACTCTTGGAGCCTTTGGCCTTGGCCTGGGGGTGGGTGGTCTCCGGGCCCTTAAGGGGTTTGAGCCCCAGCTTCTCACAGTAGGCGTTGCACTGGTGGGAGGCAGTAAACTGGTCCAGCAGGCCAGGGCAGCAGCTTTCCTTGAGGCCTTGGTATCTGTGCCAGACAGTGAGAGCTGAGGCCACAGGAGGGCCCAGGGCAGGCGCCCCCTGGGGGCCATCTCTGGGAAGCCCAAGGTCAGGGTGTGGTGCCTATTCTACGTGGGGGTGGGGGATTCCTGGGCACTACCTCAGACGGCACCCCCCGCCTCCATTCCCATCTGGCACAGGGAATTCACCCTGGCTGGTGTGAGGAGGATTTGCCTTCTTAATGTTAATGTGAGTGGACTCCAGGTCACCCCTCTGTGGGAGGGAGCCTTGCTCACCTGCATCCTGACGGGCTTCCTCAGGGGTGAGGAGGAGGGAGAACCTGAGATTATATAGGTGACTATATTGCAGGCCCTGAGTTTTGTACCATGATAATCGGGCCTGTTGGTCACTCACTACCTGCCGGTCTAGAGCTGGGGTCAGGGCACAGCAGGTGGGAGCAACAGTCCCAGGTCATTTCCACATCACCATTGGTATGTCTGAGACCATCCAGCCCCCGGCCCAGCACATCAGGAATAAAGAACCAGAAGACACGGGGCATTTTCCCTTTGAGAGGACCCTCTGAGGGTCTTCTGTCCCCAGGAGCCACTCACCCTCGAAGTTTGGTGGCAATCTGCACATCAGTCATCTTCCAGTCAACCCCTGAAGAAAAGAGAAAGGTTAGGGTTGGTGACCAGAGCCTCCCTCTGTCCAGCCTGGACCCAAGCTCCGAGTCTACAGGGCAGGCCTTGCCCTAGAGGGGAGCACGCCAGGGTCCAGGGCATCTCTTCTGGCTCACTTTCCTGGGCCACCCCACCAGCTGGCCGTCTAGGAAGGGTGAGGATATTTTCAGTAATAATATTCCCAACATCACAAATGAGAAGGTGTGCTAAATGTCACATGACTTGAACAAAGTTACATTGATTCATTTCTTGTATAACTAAACACTGACTCTATACAAAGACCAATTACTTATTGCAAGTCAAGGTATAAATTCAGTTCTTCTGACTGCTGTATCCAAGACTCCCAACCATGTAATCCTGCCTCTATTAGATCAACTCTGACCATATAGACTGGGCTGGGTTCTGACTCTGAGTGAAATTCTTCACCCTCTTCAAAAGTTAGTTTATCCAGGCAAGAGAGAGACAATGGGGGTGTGAGGCTATATCAAGAATGGACCAGTTGATAAGTGTCTTCTACTCTATCATAAAGGCAGTCAGCACCCCAAAAAACCAAGGTGGTCATCAGGGTTAAAACACTGTTGGAAGAATAGAGCTAGGTAAAAAGGGAATGGAAAAAAGATTTCTTGCCCCTGATATTCACTCACCCACGCCTCTCGGCACTTTCGTGCATTAAGCTCGTAGTCCTTGGCACCTGTCAAGCTATCCAGGCAGCATTCTTCTAGGAAGCTGCCTTTCACTCTCGGGCCTGAGCACCATCATTGGATAGAGTAGAGCGAGTGTGGGGTTTAGAATTATGTCACCTTGGAGTGGTGTGAACCTGGCAGTCCACTTATGATCTCTGATGACCTAGTGTTTAACAGTTGTACTGGAAACCCAAAGGCACACAGTTTGAATCCACTGGCCACTCCATGGGAGAAAGATGGACAGTCTCCTCCTGTGTGATGTACTGCCTCTGAAAAGGTGCTGGAGGGTCAGCTCTGAGTCGGTTCTAGCGCGATGGTATACAACAACAATCCTCATCACTAAAAGTGGTGATAATAAAGGCTGTGTAGTAGAGGTGCTGAGAAGATCACAAATACAGGTGAACCTTTAACTTAGTGCCCAAAACACAATCCATATCCAGTAAATATTAGATTCCTTGTTGTATCTTTTTTAACATTTATCACATTCCATCTTGTATTTTGATAAAGACATTCCCTTAAACTTGAACAGAATTCCAGTGTCATAAAGATAAACTTGGCTAATCCTTGTAACAAGCCAAAGAGCTAGAAAAGATACCACTAGTCCTACAGAAAGAAAGGAAACAGAAACTCAGAGATATAAAAAGTCCTACTCTGTCTGCGAGCTACGTTGGCCTAGTGGAAAGGAAGCTATGGTACCAAGCCGAAGGTGGGTGATTTTCATCTGTGGCCCTTGGCCAGGTTCAAATTGTTTTCCTGTCAAACATTCTTCTAGGTGGTGTAGCACTGGTCTGTGCTTTGCTGTACAGCGGTAACGCGTGGTTGCTGTGATGCTGAACACTGTGACAGTGATGTGCCAATCGTGGTAATGGGTACCCATGGTGGACAGTGTTGGCTGGAGCTTCCCGACTAAATCAAGCCTGGAAGCAGGAGCGGCATCCACTTCCGAAATGGCTTGCCTCTGGAAACTCTATGTACAAACAGTGTGCAGGCCATTCGTTCATAGGGTCGCTATGAGTCGTCTACGACTCGACGGCATCAAACAACAACAACAACAACAACTACAACTCTGTCTGCACTTTAGTTTATTCCTTTTGCAAACAGAGGCCCAGCTAGAAAATTACAAAATCGAGGCGTAAGTCAAATTCCTTTGACTCTATAATCTTTCTGCTCTACCATGTCATCAACTCAGTACAGAAATTGGTGCCGTTCTCACAGTTTCTTGAGGGCAAGGTATAGTCCTCTTTACCACTTCCCATTACTGTCTGGTGGATGAATAAAGAAATGTATGGGAGGAAGCAGGAACCTATGAGCTAACAGAGAGAATGAGAAGAGCTTAGTGTTCTACCTAGCCTCCCCAATCCAAGTACATGAGGCCATCAACTTTACTCCAAAGAAAAGCTCATCTGAGGCCATGTTCTATCCTTAGCCCTCCCAGCTGTGCTTCTCTTCCTGTGTACAGAGAAACTGGCTTTCTCCACACATTTCCCCATTTGGGATAAAGTGAGCAAGCCTGGAGAACTCCTGCTCGCTGGCCTGCCTTCCTCGGGAGAATCCGAGTGATGGGAGAAACATGTAAATCGGCATGAAGCCAGAGAGACAATGTTTATCCATCTAATAGGAAGTAAAGATGGAGGAGGAGAAGATGCAGAAAAGCTGTATGTTCCTGGATGGAAGGGAGTGTATGAAGAGTGAGAATGTTGGTAGCAGTTACAGCAGCACAGCAAAGAGGGGATATTATTTTAAAAAACAGTTGTGAGTTTTGAATCAAATCCCATGCAGTGTTCTTTAAAATCAATTCCTTTTTTTATAGTCCTTTAAATGCAACTTCAGGTATAGCTGGATTATATGAGGCCCTGGTGTATATTAGGGTTATCATGAAGAACAATGGGGAATGAAGCCGAAAGTGCAATGTCAACTATCAGAAGCCCTGTGGCCCTGCCCTCACATGCTGTCACACACGTGCACGTGCACACTTGGCACCCTCATACCTGCCAAATCTGTGACAAGGAAGCTGCCATTTGTCCACTGATACAGCCAGTGCTGGAAGGTCTGGCATTTGTGCATGGCCTCGGAGCTGCTGGGTGCTGTCGGGGCCCCAGCACAGCCCCATTCCCGGGAACAGTAAGTCTCCAGGGGCTTGCCCAGGTCTTCCTCCAGGGTAGCATATGGGATATTGTTTGCAGGCCGGTAGATCAGATACAGTGGGATGATCCTAAACACAGTTTCATCCTGCAGTAAGCAGGAAGTAGGACTCCAGAAAGCTCACCCCTCCAGCCCAGTTCTACACTCTGGAGCTTACAGGAGGCTCCTTCTAAGGACGGAATTCATTCAGCTCTGACCCTCCCCAAATGGTTAAGAGAGGGGAGCTCCACCCTGAGTTCTGAAAGGAAATGGAAGCAGGTGATGTCAGACAGTCCCGTCCCTTCTCTGCGGTCAGTCAGTGGGACGAGAAGTGACCTCTGCAGTGACCCCAAATAGACTCTGTGCTTAGTGAGGGACTGAGATGAGGATGTGTCGGAGAGGAACACCTCCAGAGAGGACTTCACCAATGGTGGCTCAAGTCAGACCAGGTGTTCATCAGAACTCAAGATGCATGAGAACATGTGACTCCTATAAAAGTTCAGCCCAACACTGTCCGTCTACCATGGCAAAGTGTCCACGGTGCCTAAGAGCTTACCCACCCCCATCACCCTCAGAGAGGCCCAGGATCTGCTGGGCTCAGTCTGCCACCAGCAAAGACGAGCTGAGGAGCAGGAGGTTGTGAGAGCTGGGCAGAGGCTTTTCCAAAGTGCAGAGTGAGTCTTTTGGTCTAGATTGCCAGATTTTGAGGGACCACTAAGCCAAGCAGAGGGGTAACTATGGGTCTGTTTGCTGTAACCCAGGATGACCCCGAGGATGATGCAATCGCTGCTTTTCCCAAAGCTGAAGGCCACAGTCCTGACACCACGTGGCCCCTCTCCCACACACTTACTCAGGCACCTCCCCAAAGCCAGTCACAGCTCGGGCTTCCGCAGCAAAGATTTTGCAGTATTCACGACTCATGTTCTGGATCTTGCAGCCCTGTGGATGGTAAGGAACCACATCAGACCGAAAGAGAGCCTCCTAACTCTGTATCTGCTACTCTAGGCGGGAGGCTCACCCACTAGAGAGGAGTTCTGCTCCAGAGGACAGTGGGGTTCAGGCCTGCTCTGCTCTCTACTCTGTACCTCATTTGTCTATTTTGTAAAGCAAGAGGCTTTGGACTTTTAAAAAGTGAGGGTTTTCAAAATGACTTCCAAAATGTGTCCCCTGGAGCCCTAATGACGGTGACAGTGCCCCAGGTGCCACGCCTGGGAGAGTGTGAATGGTGGGAGCACCAGACCTTCTGTCCCCCTACAGTTACTCTGCTTTTAACTCCACTCGCGGCAGTGGGGGCAGATGTTTCAGAGATGGTGAGGTTGGCCCAGGATAGGGCAGGGCTCTGAGCCTCATTCATAGGGTCCCTAGGAGTCATGGTCGACTCAATGGCACATAACAACAACATAAGGCCTCTGTGTGTAACTACTTATAAAGGCAGGAAGAAAAGTTTCTGCTGCAGAAATACAATTGGGAAACAATGGCCTGAAAGGCTTTGACTCCCAAGTTCTCTGAGGCAAAGTACAGCACCTAGATTCTGAGTTGTCTCAGTTTCTCCCTAAGGTTGGTCCTTGATGCCTCACAACCTTGAGATTGAGAAGGCTTCTGCCTCCGTTTGCCACCATAACCCAGGCTGGGGCAGGGGAGGAGGTCAGAGCCAAAGGATGAGAACAGGGGTGGGACCTGGTACCTGAATGGTGACGTCGTAGTTTCTGCCCAGGAGAGATGATGTCTCATTGCTTGGCCCAAACACGAGCAGGCTGGAGACCTTGATGACGCAGGTGCGGCCTGACTCGAAGATGGGCTCCAGCCCATAGATGACCTTGGCCTGGGAGGCCTTCTGGAGGCTACATCTATGGCCCTCCCCTCGGAGCTCCTCACTCACCAGGCGCCCAAAGAGCTTGTCCCCCCAGCAGCCAGAGTCAGCCAGACCCTTGGCAAACACCATGGGGGTCATTTCAATCTCTTCTCCAACTAGAGGGAAACAGGAGAAATGTGGGAAAATAGCAGCTCACCCCTGACCAGTCTGGGGTGTGCAGGGCAGCTGAGGGGCTGGGAGCAACTCCCTCCCCAGTTCTGTCAACATGTCTGCACCTTCAGCCCCTTCCAAACCAGGAGCTCCTTGAAGGTAGAAACCATGTGCTCTGGTCTCTGTCATTCAATAGAGCTTGAGTACCACCTGTCCAATGGGAGTGCTCCCCAAGAGTCTGGGGGAGCTGTGGTGCTCTGATGTGCTGGCAGCAATCAGTATGGAATGCCAGAGCTACTTTGAGAATTCTATATTTTTATTAAACATACTGAATAAGTGGTTAAGTGATTCCATCTCAACCAACACGTTTGACTCAAAAAATTTTCTGGGCCAATCCAGCAACAATGGGCATCCCTAGTGCTCAAACTGTGATCACTAAATACCATTTCCCACTAGAAGGAACCACAACTGCATAAAGAAATGGCTGATTCCAGATCTAGGACAGGAAGTGGGCAGGATGGGCTGGGTACATCTTACCACACCAGAAAGCAAGTAAGTTATCAAATATTATTGATGCCTTATCTAAAGGGCTCAATGCCTGGCAGAGGAGAGCCACCCAGCCCCTGAGGAGAGATACCCAGCCTCTAGGGAGAGCCCCCTGGCAGGAGAGAGCTGTCTGGCCCCTGAGGGGAGCCGCCTGGCCCCTGGGGGGAGCTGTCTGGTAGGGGAGAGCCGCTTGGTATGTATGAGGAATTTTATCTAAGACATTTTCCTCCATCTCCTCCTCCAGTATACCTGCAAGTAACACATCCAAAGCCCTTTTCTTTGTAACTCTCAAGTTTGTTCTCTGTAGGTTTGCTACCTTTCCTATAGATAAGCTAAACACTGAGTTTTGTTCAAGAACCTGAACCGTGAGCTCAGTTCCAGAGATAAAAGGGAAATATAATTGCCAGCTAAGGAAGTGAAGGTGGATGAAGCCTCAAAGTTCAGCCAGCCACTCCCACTGGACTCACCCATGCAAACACCTTGCGTCCAGAGGGCAGAAAACATTATGAAAATATCCTCTAACTGAACAAGAAGGCATGTAGCTTCAACTCAAGACCACCAGTAAAGTGTTAAAGTGGGCTCCCCTTCCCCTTCACCTCAATGCCCCTGTTCAGCACGAAGCAGCCAGAGAGCCTGTACCCTTATTCCCAAATTGGAAACCCACAAATAAAAAAGATAATCTCTTTATTAAAAAAAACATAATAATCACCATTGGACTATACCCACCACTACCCTGTCTTTTCCAGTCCCCGCTGGATCTTTCTCATTTCCTTTACCCACTCCCTCCACCCACCAAATTGTGCAACCCTGTGATTTCATCCCTACCCATCCTCACCCTCTGTTCCCACCCTTACCCCCTTAGGTCCCCATATATGTTCTACTAGTTATCTTTCTATTTTTACAATTAAAAAAAAGAGGGGGTTCAAGAACCAACATGAAGGTACCTCTACTGGTTAAAAATGAGACAAACTAAACAACAAAACCTATAGCAAATGCAATGTATTGAGAGCATCGAGTATGTTAAAAATCCGTGCCTTCATAATGGCAATTTTAAACCATTCTTTCCAAAAGCCCACAAATGTAAGTAGCCATTTTTGGAGAGTGGTAGGACATTATTCTGAAATCTAGTAACTAAAGGGGGGAAATTGAGTCTTTAACTTCATTTCTTATTGGAAATGGCAGCCAAATAATTCTTTGACAGAAAAAAATTTGGCTAATGAATTAAGAGTAAGCTTCAGGAAGTAGCTAAGAGAATACACCATCCCCTTTTCCTTATGACTCAGGGTGAAGTCTCTCTCAGGGAGGAGTGATAGGGAATGGCAAAGGACACACTGACAAAGAAGATTAATCAGAACTGGCTTTGACAAGCACTGTGGCATTTGGACAAGAACAAACTGGGAGGAGGGTAGAGAGAATAATGCAACAATGAATGAGTGGAAGCCCAAAATCTCTGTAAATGTTTATGAAAATTAATAAAATATAATTATAGAAAAAAAAAGAGTAAGCTTCATTCTATAATACTGCCAAGTTGTAACTCCTCATGAAATAACAGGTTTAGGCAACAATTAGTGGTTGGTGAAACTATAGAGGTAACTTCAAGGTGAGAGGGTTTAAAAGGAATGAGTTGGGTAGAAAGCACCTGAGCCAATGAACAATGTCTTGGTTAGTGGAGAAAAGACTGAAGATGTCAAGGAATTCTTTTTACTTTGATATACAATCGACACTCATGGAAGCAGCAGCTGAGGAATCAAACACTGTCTATTACTGAGTCTTTTAATACTAAAAAGGCAAGGTTTTAAAGACTGAGGTGCTCAAAATCATGCTATTTCCAATTGCCTTTTATGTACTGGCTAACAAATGAGGAAAGACTAGGAAAAAATTGATGCCTTTGAATCATAATGTTGGCAGAGAATAAATCAAGGGCAAGCAGAACAACAAACAAGTCTGTCTTGGAAGAATCTGAGCCAGAATACTCATTAGAAGCAAAGATGGGGAGGCTTTGCCTCATATCCTTTCGGTACAGGAAGAGCCAGTCCTTGGAAAAGTCATCACAGTTGATAAAGTAAAAGGCCAACAACAACAAAAAAAGAAGGAAGACTCTTGATGAGCTGGACTGGCACAGTGGCTGCAACAGTGACAAGCTGGCAGAGATTGTGAGGATGGCCCAGAATCAGCCATTGTTTGGTTGCACTGTGCATAGGTTTGCCTGGGCCAATGGATCCTAACAACAGAAAGAGGACACCTGGACGGAGACTAGGGTCAGTCTCACTACTTCTTGTTATGTGCCATCAAGTCACTTGTGACTCATAGCAACTCTATGTACAACAGCTCTGCACCCTGCTCTATCCTGAGCCAGTCTCACTGACTCCGACACACCTACCCCCATTACCTCAGTCACTGAGTCAATCCATCCCATCCAGGGTCTTCCTTTCTTGAACGGTCCCTCCACCTTTCCAAGCATGATGTCCTCTACAAGGACTGGTCCTTCCTTGCAACATGTCCAAAGTAGTCAGACAAAGCCTCAGAATCCTTCCCTCCAAGGAGCAGCCTGGTTTCACCCTCTCCAGGACAAATCTGTTTATTCTTCTATCTGTTTATTCCATGGTATATTCAAGACTCTTCTCCAAAACCACGACTCAAAGGCATCAATACTCCTTCTATCATCCCTAGTCATTGTCTAGTTTTCTGATGCATAGTAAGTAATTGCAAAGACCATGGCCTGGATCAGGTGCACCTTAGTCTCCAGACTGATATTGTTGCACTTCAGTACTCTGAAGAGGCCCCTGACAGCTGACTTTCCCAATGCACTTGTCTCACTACTACAAAAAATAAAATAATCAGACCATGTGCACCTCCTGATGGACACAAAGGGAAACACACTGCACAAATGAGGATTCTTGCTGAAAACAAAACAGACAGAAAAACTAAATCCAAATCTCACCAAGTCTCCAGCTCTAATTACCAGTTTAGAGAAAACACACGTATAAAGTAACATGTTAGTTGTTGGTTGCTGTGTGCCGTCCATTCAGAACTGACTCATAGCTGACCCTCCAGTGGGCTTTCAAAGGCTGTAAATTACATGGAAGGAGAATGCCAATCTTTCTCCAGTGGAGGAGCTGGTGGATTTGAACTGCCAGCATTTATGTTGGCAGTACAGCTCCTTCCCTACTAGGCCACCAGAGGTGGGGTTATAATCAAGAATGTTGCAAAGCTGAGAATGTATGAAATTCCACGCATCAAGTGAGGTCAACAAATAAATGACAAAGAGGGGGAGAAAATGAGGGAGAAGTAAAAAAGATAGATTAACCCAAAGTAATAAAGTAGTTCAATGAGACCATTGGGGAAATCTGGTTGGGCATTTAATGATATTAAACAATTATTATTCTATTTTTGGATATGAGATTGTATTTATAGTGATCAAAATTTATTTGTTAATTAAACAAAGGACATGTATTGCCCTGGGAAAGTCTTCAGTTAGGGACCTCTCCAAATTACTGAGTAATGATGTCAATTTGAGGACTAAGGTACATCTAACTCAGGCCATTGTCTTTTCGATCACTTGCTGTGAATGAAGAGCTGGACAATGAATAAGGATAATGGAAGATGAATTGATGCCTTTGAGCTATGGTGTTGGAGAAAAACGCTGAACATCCCATGGAAAGCGAAAAGAACAAACAGATATGACTTAGAAACGGTGCATCTAGAGGCAAAGATAATGAGGCTTCACCTCACATACTTTGGACATGTTGCTAGGAGGGGCTATTCCTTGGAGAGGGTCATGATGCTGGGAAAGGTGGAGGGTTGGTGAAGGAAAGGAAGAGTGTCAATCAGGTGTATTGACACAATGACTACCACACGGGCTCTGATGTGTCAGGACGTGTGAGGACAGCACACAATAGGAGAGATAGATCTGTTGTTCATAGGACCATTATGGGTCATACTCAACTCATCACCTAACAACAACAACTGAACAAAAGACATTAGTTGAATGAATAAAAGAGCAATTAAATGATAAATAAGTGAAGAATAAACACATTTGAACAGTTACTAAACGTAGTTCTCATAATCTTTCCATCACTAGCTGCCCTCCCAGTCCCAAGTTTTAGTGTGTCTCTTATGGGAAGAATACAGACACCTCCCCTAAAACGGGGGCCTTTAACATGCTCAGCAACCTTCAGGGTGGCTCACAGCCCCCATGGAGCCTATGGGACATGCCATTGCCCCAGGGCCCTCCTCAGGACTGTGCTTTAGTGTGCATGCAGCAGGATCCAAGAAACTCCACTCAGAGTAGAGACCTGGAGACCAGTGTTGCCCTTAATCCAGATTCCATCAGAGACTAAGAGCGCAAAGATTAACTAACTCCCAGTAGATCGCCATCTCTACCATCCCCCAACCACTTCTTCCCACAACCTTCTGACAATCCTCGGTCTTCTTCCACCATCCTCCCGAGCCTTATCCTAAACCAGGAGGCGAAGGGTGGATAGGACTGTCTGTGGATATAAATGTGACATTATGGAGCAGACCCCAAGCCCGTAGGAGGGCACTCCCAGCAGTCAGGGTGAATGGCGATGGGGGGCACCCACCCGCTCCTCCTCCTCCTCCCCCAAAGCACCCTCGTACCTTCACCTTCTTCTCTGGAGATGAATCCTGACAACACTAGGTGGAGAAAGAGAAAGTAAGCAGCTTCCCTTGCTGTTCTGCCTAGAGGTGGAGGCCACCCCCAGAAGCATGGCCAGGCAGAGGGCCCTGGCAGCAAGAGACTCACCCTCAGGACTGAGGCAGAAGTCGGTGGAGGCAGAGCCGTGTTCATTGTGTATGGTGCACCGGTACACGCCACAGTCCACCGGGGACGCCTGCACGATGGCCAGGGCTGCTGGGCCCTCGTCCCCTGCACTGAAGAGAAGGGAGGCCCAGGACTCGTGTGCAGAGCACACTTGGATCCTAAGAGTCCTCAGAAACTAGTCCCCCTGCCCAGGCTCTGAGGCCACCAGAGGCAGTGTCAGAAACACCCTGGTGGAGAGCAAGCCCAATCATGCAGCCCTGAGTGACACTTAGAGCATGCAGCTTTAGACAGGAGACTTGACACTTGAGCCCAGATTTTCTCACCTCTGCTCTGGAGAGAACAGAATCTTCCTCACAGGGTTATAGTGATGTTAGGACCACACCGAACAGAATTGCTACTGTAGTAGGAAGCTAGCTGGGGTTGGGGAGGTGGTCCTGGCTGGCTTACCTTCTGCCCACCTCGCCCACTGGACGCTGATCCTTGGCCCATGTCAGGACAGAATCACTAAGAATGTTGAAGAACTGGCACCAGAGCTTCAGGCTACCTGAGGCATCCGGAAACTGTTCCACCCGAATCTTCCGGATCACCTGAGGGGCTGGGAACAGGGTCCAGTAAGAGGAAGAGCGCTTCCCCTCCACCCTGCACCTTCTCTGGCCTCTCTGACATTTGTACACACAGAGGCAGAGGCCTTAGGCCAGGGCCAAAGACTCGATCCCTGCTGCCATCAGTGGCACAGGTTGGAAGAAAACAGCTTTCAGGTCTCTGGCTACTTCACAAGAGAGTTTTGGCCACACTACCAACCCAAAGGCTGCTCCTCTCTGGGGGTTCGAATCCACCAGTGGCTCCTTGGAACAAAGTCAGGCAATCTCCTCTTCCCCTTGTCCCCAATTTACAGCCTCAGAAACCCAATAGAAGTTCAGCCATGGGGAGATTCTGACTCCATGGCAATGAGGGTGAGAGAGAGGGATACTTCATTCCCCAGTGCTTTCTGCCCCTCCATCTCTGAGGCTTCTGCCCTGATTCCCAAAGCATGTAGGTGTTGGAAAGAACCAAGGCCAGCGAGAGCCTCAGCTCACTCCCCAGATCCCTAAGACTAGAGACCTGCAAGGAACCCCCTTTCCACCACTGCAGTTGTGGAGCAAACCTGTAAAGAGCAGATGGGGATGGGAATGATGCTGATGCTGGAGCTGAAATGCTACTGAACATCAGGCCTTGGGAAAAATCCTTGATTTAGCCTCTCCCTTCTAACCATGACAAGGCTATTAAGTTAGTACTGTTCTCAATCCTGTGTTACAGGGTCTTTCTGGCCTTTCTGATTCTAGTCTTTGAGACCATTAAGAAGACCTTTTCAGACGCGCTCGTCAGCCCTTCAGTAAGCGCGGGCGACGTGTCAGTGGCAGCAGCGCCCTCTAGCGGCCTGACTGTCTTGCCCATCGAGCCCCCTCTAACTATTGACTTACCTTTGAGTAGGTCTTCGGCTTTCTTGGGTTTGGCCAGAGCGTCCTGCTTGCCTTCATCCAGTGCTGGCTCTGCGTCCGGGCCACTGGCCAGGTCTCCAGGCACCGGCTCTTCCTCTGTCCGCGGCACCTCCAGCAGACCTGCCTTTCTGCCCTGGGTGGGGGATCGTCTCTCCGATCCTGGAGTCCCTGGGGACCCAGGTGCTAGGCTCTTCCTGGGCCCTCGAGGGGAGACTGTGGGGCTCTCCCTTTCCTCGGCCTTGACTACCTCCCCTTCTCCTGTTGCTCTGACCTTCGGGAGAAATCTCTTCCTCCTGGCCCCCAGGGCCAGCTCCTCCGGGGTGGCTGCAGGGAGACCTGCTGGAGCCTCAGCCAGAGCCACCACCTCATGGAAGGGTTCCTGGACCCCGTGCTCTGCCGACAGCAATTCTTCACCCGCCTCCCCGGCTGGGCCTCCTACACTGCTCCTTGGGTTGACCCCTAGGAGCTCAGGTCTCTCAGAGGAGGCTTCTCCTTCACCTTGACTGGATCCTTCTTCTGAGATTGGCCCAGAGCCCTCCTCCCCTACCACGATGGCAGGGACAGAGAGGAGGCTGGAGCCCGGGCCCCGGGAGCCCCGGGCAGCTGCCAAGGCCTGCTGGCCAGCCTGCACCTCGCGGTCAAGGAGCCCGGTGAGGCGGCGAGAGGTGCAGGGGCTCAGCAGCACGGTCTGCGCGCTCTGGACCAGGTGGTTGTTCTCCACGCGCTCCAGGATGCGCCGTGACGTCCGGGGACTCAGGCCAGCCACTTCCACAGTGGGGACCAGAGTAGATGAGGATGCTGGGGCCCCGGTGGCCTCACCTGCCTGGGGCTCTGCCACCCCTCCACTTGTCTCTGTGCCTGATAGCTTTAACAGCAGAAGCAAGTAGTTCTTCAGGGAATCTATGAGGCCAGGGTCACAGCTCCGGGGGCCTGGGGTCCTACCCTCCACATCTGGCACCTTGGCACATGCCCCATCACTGCTCACAGGAGCTACCATTCCTGGTGGGTAACTCTGAGTGGGTGCTCCTGTCCCCAGGTGCAATGTTGGGGCAGACCCCAGCAAGGCCTGAGCCCCAGAAGGCAGAAAGGTATCTGCACTTGTGTGCCGAGAAGTCAGGGTCCTGGGCAACCCCTCCAGTGGTTTACTGGCCGGGCTAGTCCCAGGAAGAGAGGGCATGGAGGGCCCCTCTGCACCCAGGCCAGCTGGAAGGCAGCTCCTCAAATCCACAGGCGGCACTTCCCCTAACTGGTCCTCCTTGGGGCCCTTGAACAGGCTGTCATCTAGCTTGTCCTTGCCTGGGCTTGACCCTGACCTTTGACATCCCTCTTCTCCCCTCTGCTCCAAGTTGCTGTCTGCAGACAGCAGGGCTGGGAGTGTGAGGTGCCCCGACAGGGTGCCTGGCACTGATTGCTCGTGGTTTCTGGAGGAAATTCCTGCTGCCTCCCCAGAGCAGAGCACAGTGGGTTTTGCTGGGTCAGAGGGCATTTCTGGGGTCTGCTCAAAGTCTCTAGCAATCTGAGGCCTAGGGCCCTCTGAAGGTGGGTGTGCAGGGGCTGTGGACAGTCGACTAAGCCTGAGCCTCGGCTTCTCCTCTGGGTGACCTTCCACGGCTGTGGGTGTTCCTCCCTCTGACCACATCCCCTTCTCCCCCTGCATCCGTCTGTCTTCCTGTAGTCCATCCTCCGCCTCCATCTTTCCATCTTGCTGCATCCTCTCACCTGTCTGCGTCCGTTCTACCTGGGTCACCACATCCTCCTGGGAACTCTCGCATGCTTGTGTCCTCACACTTTCTCGTGTCACAATATCCACCTGTGCCTTCCTCTCTGCCTGTGTCCTTGGAGTTGTCTGTGTTTGGTTTTTCTCCATTTTCTCATCTGTCAGCCTTCTTCTGTCTGTCTGTCCCTCTTCAGCCGTCTGTGCATTCTTGTTGCCCCCTGTTCTCCAGTCAGCAGAGGTGCTCCTGTCTTCCTGGGTCTCTGTATCCATGGGCTCAATGGTATCCTGACTTCTCGAGGTACTGAGGCCAAGTGAAGTGATATCAGAGGTGCTGCTGGCCAATGTGGTGGGAACTGTGGTTGTTTGGGGCTCTAGGGCCTGAGGACACATGGAGAGAACAAGAACTTAAATATATTTCCATCAGGATCTCATCTGACCTCACCCAGAACTGACCTGATGGGAATCCCACTACCTGATCTCTCGGGCAGATGGAGGTGAGAGGCAAGGGACATGTGTGTGGCATGGTTCCAAAGCCTCATGCTTTCTCTAACCCCTGATCCCAGAACTGGGGCCAAGGGATAGCCCACATCTATACCCAGCTCAGGCTATGATGAAAAAGGCTTCCTGAAAGACCGTATGCACATGTTATTCCACCCCTTACTCCTGCCATTTGGAGAGTGGCTTCTCCCCAGGGTTCCCAGAGCAATCAATCTGCTTCTCCCTGCTCTCTAACAACCTTGGATAGAATTGTGGGTGAAGTGGGAGAGTACAGACGAGCCCTCAGTAATAGCCTCCATTAATGAGGCAGCAAGAAAACCATGGTGCCATCCATAAACATAATGCAGAAGTAACCATGAGTGGCCCTTATGTCAAGGAACAAATGACACATTATGGTAGTCTATCATATCGACAATTCACAAAACACTACTATGCATTGGAATCAACTGAAGCAGTGGGTTTGGTTTGGGGTGTTTTTTTCTGGTTTGTATTTTTCTTCTTTTCAGTTCCTAGCTTCCCTTGTTTAGAAGCAAGAATGGCACCCACTTCCTAAATAACATGCCTCCAGAAACTATGAACTCTGATAAATGTCAGTAGTTGTAGAGGGGCTTTAGGCCTTTTGTTCATAAGGTCACTGAGTCGTGTTCAACTCGAAGGCAATCAACAACAACAGCAGCTTCCCTTGAGCTAGCCTCTGAGTCATGGCCAATTCATGCACAATGGAACAAAACAGTGCCAAATCTTGCACTGTCCTCATAACTGGCTATGAATTAGACCACATGAGCTACTGAGTTTTCAGTGGCTGACTTTCAGAAGCACATTCCCAGGCCTTCCTTTCCTAGTCTGTCTGAGTCTGGAAGCTCCCCTGAAAGCTCGCAGCAACATACAAAAGACACCACTGACAGATGGGTGGTTGCTGCACACAAGATCTCCCTCATGGAAGGTATGAATTCTACCACTGACCCACCAGTGTCCACAGCTCTATGTAATCCACCATCCACGGCCTCATGGCAAAGCTCCATTGAGCTGCCAAGTCAGTAAATGTTCACAGGAAGAGATGATGTATCTTTCTCTTACAGAGCAGCTGGTGTATCCCAACTTCTGATTTTTTGGTTGACACTCCAACAAATAACACACTATATCAGGACTCCTTAAACACTATCTTCAAAACACCCTCAAACTCATTTCTGTTGAGTTGGAACCAACTCATAACTGATCCTACAGCAGTTTTCAGAGGTTGTGAAGTGCATAGGAGGAGATTGCCCATCTTTCTCCCAAAGAGTAGCTGGTGGATTCAAACGATTCACCTTTGATTCTGTAACACAATTCCTTATCCAACAGATACCAGAGCTTCCTATGAAGCTTGTATATATTAGTTAAACATGAAACATTTATGAGAATCTTCCTTATAGATAAGAACACTGATGTTTGGAGAAAAGATGTCATTTGTTTATTATCCGATGCAAGTAAGTGGCAGAGTTTTAATTAGAAACATGGCTCTAAATCCCAAGCTGTTTCTTTTTATATTAATGTCATATGTTCCAGTATAATGAAAGGATTTGCTTTCTAAACATGATGGCATCATGCAGTAATCCCTCCCCCACTTTCCTCCTGAATATAATCAAAACAACAAAGCAAATGAAAAAAAGAAAAGCAACTCTATCATTAATAAGATTAGAGGCAAATGTAATGTATAGCTAAAAAACTGAACAAAGGCTATCGAAAGTAGATAAAGGTAGCTGTTGGGACATTGAAGCATTGGTAGAAGAAATAGTAAAACAGCTCAAAACCAGTAAGTCTCAGAATGTACCAGCAAAATCACAGTAACTGTAGATAAGAGCCTCATCCTAAAATGATTCAACCATGGACTTCGTATACGAGATTTGCAGAGGAGCCCTAGTGGCAAAACAATTAAGTGCTTGGTTGCTAATCAAAAGGTTAGTGGTTTAAACCAACCAGTGATTCTGAGGGAGGAAAAGCCTGGTGATCTCACCCACGAGATTACAGCCTAGGAAACCTGATAGGGAAGTTCTACTCTGTCATGAAGAACGGCTGTGAGAATCTACTCTAGACCACACACAACAATAGGACATGGAGAGCAGAAAAGAAATAAAGCAGAGGACACATGAGCAAAGAAGACTGGCCTAGCCCAGGGGCAGGAGATCTCAGGGTTGTGACTTTTCGTTGCCAGGAAAAAAAAACCCACAATATTTCTTTAAGAAACTTAAGGAAACCTATCATAAATCATAAAAATTAGAATTGGCAAGGCAGTCGTTGAAGGTCATCATAAGAAAAAAAGGAGGGCAAAGAAGCAAAATTTACCAAAGAACATTCGCCAAAAAAGTTAACCGGAAGCAGGTGAACATTCTGGTCACCATTTCACCAACAAATTTTAAAAACCTAATGCAGAAGTCACTTTTATCAAGGAAGAATACAAGTACTCCTACTTGTAAGCTCACAGGAAAGAAATTAAGAACTCAAAAGAGATACAAGAGAAGAGGAAAAAGATAAGAAAAAGTGAGGGACAGAAAGACAAAGAGAAAATACCTGAATTGTCAGAACTCAGGAAAGATACTGAAGAAAAGTTTTAAAAAAGACAATTGGAAAGAAATGGGATGGGAAAGAAATCTCCAAAATCCTATGGAAATTATAACAAGGAAAATAGAGAACAGAAATTTTAAAATGGAGTAAATTACAATGAAAAGGCTAATACATAGCAATCAGCATGTTTCCAAAACCTTCATTTAGCTTCTGATACTATAAAACTAGAAATTATTAATGTAGGCATAAGACAGTGCTGACTCTGCACACAGCCTGCAATCCCGAGACTCATGAACTACCTCAGCTCCCATTTCTGGCCCTGCCTTACCAAGCCCTGTGTCCTGCTGAACTTACCTCCCCTATCTCTCAATATCCATTGCAGTATCAATATCCATTACAATATCCATCCCTCTTACAGGCTTCACCACCAAGTACCTGATCCAAGCTGTCAACAATAGTATTTGCCTGGACAGTAAAGCTCCATAACTGATATCCAATTCACTAGTCTTTGCCTCTGTTAAACTATTATCCTTAATACATCCAGGTGATCTTTCCAAGATACAAACTTGATTGCAACGCTCTTTGCTTTAAAAAAACACACACACAAAAAAACCAAAAACACCCCACAACCACAACAAACCCTCTCAATGGCTTATCATCACTTACAGGACAAAGCTTAAAAGTCCTAGCCTTGGCCAGTGCCTCTACATTGCCCGACACCGCAGGAGCGGCTCCTGTTCTTCTCAGGACCCCAAAACAGTGTAATCCAATTGAGTCGCCTGCGACTCGACGACACTTAACAACAATAGCATCAACATAGAGGGAGAGATCAGCTGGCCCAGTGGACAGTGAGTGATTCTACCAAGCCAAAGTTGTGAAAATGTCCACAGAAGGAGGATTTGGTGGTACTACTAGCAGTGATGCCCAGCAAAGCTTACAGTCCTTTTGGCCTCATGTGATGGAAGAAATCCGGAATTTAACAGTGAAAGATTTCCTAGTACAAGAACTCCCACTGGCTCGCATTAAGAAGATTATTAAACTGGAAGAAGATGTGAAGATGATCAGTGCAGAAGCTCCTGTGCTCTTTGCCAAGGCTGCCCAGATTTTTATCACAGAGTTGACTCTTCGCGCCTGGATTCACACAGAGGATAACAAGCGGCGAACTCTCCAGAGAAATGATATCGCCATGGCAATTACCAAATTTGATCAGTTTGACTTTCTCATCGATATTGTTCCAAGAGATGAACTGAAACCTCCCAAGCGTCAGGAGGAGGTGCGCCAGTCTGTGACTCCTGACGAGCCCGTCCAGTACTACTTCACGCTGGCTCAGCTGCCCACTGCCATGCAAGTCCAGGGGCAGCAGCAAGGCCAGCAGACCACCAGCTCCACAACCACCATCCAACCTGGGCAGATCATCATTGCACAGCCTCAGCAGGGCCAGACCACTCCAGTGATGATGCAGGTTGGAGAAGGTCAGCAGGTGCAGATTGTGCAGGCGCAGCCACAAGGCCAAACCCAGCAGGCCCAGAGCGGCAGCGGCCAGACCATGCAGGTGATGCAGCAGATCATCACCAACACGGGAGAGATACAGCAAATTCCGGTGCAGCTGAATGCCGGCCAGCTGCAGTATATTCGCTTAGCTCAGCCTGTATCAGGCACCCAAGTCGTACAGGGACAGATCCAGACCCTTGCCACCAATGCCCAACAGATCACACAGACAGAGGTCCAGCAGGGACAGCAGCAGTTCAGCCAGTTCACAGATGGACAGCAGCTCTACCAGATCCAGCAAGTCACCATGCCTGCAGGCCAGGACCTCGCCCAGCCCATGTTCATCCAGTCAGCCAACCAGCCCTCCGATGGGCAGACCCCTCAGGTGACTGGCGATTGAGGGCTTGAGCTGGCAAGGCCAAGGACACCCAACAGTTTTTGCCATACAGCCTGGGCGATGGCCACAGCCCCCCTCCCCAACGGACCCAGCCGACCTCAGCGCCTCCTGCAGGCTAGGACACTGGTGCACTATACCCCACACCTGGGGCTGAGATTCTTCAACAGAAATATGCAGTATTTTTTATTTCCTTTCCCATTTTTTCCATCCAAGGAGTCAATATTTCAGTATGTTGAGCTATGTGTCCAATGCTATGAAATGGAAATATTAAATAACATATTTATGGCATTTTCTTGAAAACAAAACAAAACAAAACCAGTCCTAGCCTCATAGAGTAGAAAGTTTACCAACACCCTCTGTTGGCCAGAGGAAAACAAACATTAGCAGAGCCTCTGCGGACAGCAATTTGGCTTTATCTATGAGAACTAAAAATACTTACAGACTTTAATCCAATAACTACACTCCTAGGAAATAATTCTACGGATATATGTACAAATGGACTTATTTATACACAAAGACATTTGTTGCAGCATAGTTTATAAAGCAAGAAACTACAAGTACATAATGTTTGTTTGTTTTTTCAATAATAGACTGTCTCTCATTGCTGTCAAGTCATACTGTTCTGACAGGACATCACTGACCCTCTGCTGGGTTTCCAAAGCTGTCAAATGCATGGGAGGAGATTGCTCATCTTTCTCCCTCAGAGTCACTGGTGGATTCAAACTGTCAGAGAGGTTCCCTCCGCCCTTGGGTTAACAACCCGAGTCTCTGCAGGCTACGCCATCGGAGCTCCCCTATAATAATGTATTGTTGTTGTTGGGTAAAGCCGTATGGGATCTGACCCACAGCTGACCCTCCAGAGGGTTTTCAGAGGCAGTAAACCACACAGGAGGAGACTGCCCATCTTTCACCAATGGAGCAGCTGGAGGATTTGAAACACGTGTCCTTGGGTTGGTCAGCGCAGCTTCTTACCACTAATCCAATGAATTATGGTATATCTAGACCTCAAATAAATACAATGAATATCCAAGTGAAAAGACAGAGCATTGGATAAAATTTCAGTGTGAAGCTTTCAAATAGAAAGATCTGCAGACATACCCATATAATTGTAAATTAAAAAAATATAGCTCTGAAAGGATAAAGTACAACAATTAACTTCAGGAGAAAGAAAAACTAGGTGGTGGGGAGACTTCTTGTAATTTTTGTGTTTTCTGCATCTTACACTCAGCTCATGTGACACATAGCTAACAAAATGTTTTCAAGGTTCATCCACGTCATAGCATGAATCAAGATTTCCTTTCTTTTTATAGATGAATGTTATTCCATTATAGTGGGAGAAGGATGGGCAATCTTCTCCCGTGTGATTAACTGCCTCTGAAAATCAGCTGGAGGGTCAGCTATGGGTCGGTTCTGACTCTACAATAAACAACAACAGCAGCATTCCATTATATATACATCACTTATTTATCTCTCTGTTGATTGCCATTTGAGTTGTTTCCACCTTTTTCTCTGTTGTGACTAATGCACAGTATACAGGTATCTGGCTGCCTGCTTTCAATTCTCTTGGGTTAAAACTGGCATTGCTGGGTCTTACAGCAATTCTCAGGAGCACTGGTGGTGCGGTGGGCAAGCATTGGGCTGCTAACCAATAGGTCAATGGTTTACGTTCACTACAGAAGAAGACATGGTGGTTTGTTTCCGTGACGACTGGAATCTCAGAAACTCCACAGAGCCCTTTGAATCAATTCAACAGCAACATGGGTGGGAATTTGATTTTTTACTTTTTGAGGAACAACCAGACAGCAGCTGCACCCTTTTATAGCAGTGGACAGCACATTTTTTTTTTTGGACAGCACTTTTGTCAACATTTATTATTGGCAACTCCCAAGCACACTGAAAAAAAGAATTATAATAGTCATCTTTCTTAGTAGATGTGAAGTGATTTGCATTTCGCTACTGACCAATGATGCTGAACAGCTCTTCATGTATTTATTGGCCATATGCATGTTTCCTTTGGATATCTTTTTCTATGCTTAGACTCAAAAGTGAATTTAAATACATTACTTTCCCCCTTTATTGTGATTTGAGGGAAAGTTTATAAAGCACATTGTTTTCACACACTCACTCACATATACATTTTTACATCATTAATTATAATACTAACAATGTCTAATCATCTGTTTATTCTATATTGGAAGATAATTTATTCTGTGTTACCTTTCTCTTCACTCATGTTTAACCTACTTATATTATTATATTTAAATTGAACTAAATGTAAACATCATATAACTGGGTGATAATTTTTACAATTACTTTTAATTCTCATATTCGGACCACTTAAATTTAATGTAATATCAGTGTGCTTAATGAGTCTTAGTGGGACAGCCTATAATATGTCAGGTTACTAAACAAAAGGTCAGTGGTTTGAATCCAGCAGCTTCATTGAGGGATAAATAGGGACATTTTCTTCCAATAAAGATTTACAGTTAAATGGTACTGGCCTGGATTTGCTCATCAGGTTGCCAAGAAATATGGAGAACAACTACCCGGCCAACTGACTGGAACAGATCCATATTTGCTTCTATTCCCAGAAAAAGGTAACCCACCAGAGTGTGGAAATTATTGTACAATATCACTCATATCACACACAAGCAAAATACTGCTGAAGATTATCCAGAAATGACTGGAACGATACATTGACAGAGAACTACCAGAAGTACAATTTGGGCTTAGAAGACGTTGTGTCACTAGACACATTATCGAGACAATGTCAGATGGACCTTGGCAGAAAGTAAAGAGTACCAGAGGAATGTCTATCTGTGTGCCATTTGACTGTGTGGATCACAACACATCGTGGTTAACCTTGAGGAAAATGGGAATCTCAGAACACTTGATTGTGCTGAAACATTGTATGGCTCAAAATCAGGAAGGGAGCGTGTCAGGAATGCATCCTGTCTCCATACCTTTGTAATTTACATGCAAAACAGATCATTTAGGAGGCTGGGCTTTACAAGGAAAAACGTGGCATCAGGACTGGAGGAAGTCTCATCAGCATCTTAGGTTATACAGATGACACAACCTTGCTTACTGAAACTAAGAAGGACCTGAGGCACTTGCTGCAGAAGGTCAAGGACTGTAGTCTTCAATATAGATTGAAGCTCAACATCAAGAAGACAAAGATTCTCATCACTGGGCCAATTGGCAGCACCATGACGGAGAAGAGATTGAGGCTGTTAACAGTTACAGCTTGCTTGGCTCCACAAACAAGACTCTTGGCTGCAGCAGTCATGAAACCAAAGGACAAAT